ACTCTATCATTAGTTATAGCACATTATTAGTGATCTATACGTAATGTTTTGCTCGATTTAAAACTGATTTAAAGTGTTTTAAGACGTATCAGCTCCTTAAAACACACTTTCGTCAAAGGGAGATAGGAGCGCCAGGACCCAGAAGGACAGCACGATGTCGGACAAACCAGTTCGTATCTCGAATTTTTGTTTGTATTTCGAAGCAAAAAATTTCCCGCGAGACCTTTCGTATCTTGAACATTAAACTCGAAGCATTCGTATCTCGGGGTACCACTGTACCTCCCTGCACTTTCACCAACCATGAAACATTACTCATGGCTCTTGTGATGCCAGCGTTTCCGGAGTACTTGATCGTGTCGCCCATATAAATACTGATATACTTACCAGACACTGAAGCCACAGAACATGAATGGCAATATATCGAGAGACTACTGTATAAATGAACATTAAAAATGGTTTCATTAACTGATTTCCCCTCAATGTGTTCCACTGACCTCTCATAACCCAGTCCTTTTGACCGTGGTGAGAAGGAATAGATTCAAGAGCGATGAAGCCCTTCAAATCAATGTGAGTAATACTAGTGTCAATCCTCTCTAGGACCTCGTTCTATTTGCATGTGGACACTATGAGGGGGATTCTATGAGCTTTCTTGAAGCCTCCCCACATGTCTCTTTCCTACTTCACCCTTTCTAATGGATCATTAACTCTACTCACTGGTCACAACGGTGCTTTTTCTATTATTTGATCTGCCACCTCAGAGGAGCGCCTGTCGATTGCCATTTTAATAAGCCCCTATGTTTATCCTTTTATCAGCAGGGTTTCTATTTAATGCGTTCCACTGTCTCTTGTGGTGTTAGAGGTGTAAAGCTTGTTAGACGCAGATAATAAACGCAACAGTGATTTGTTCATTGCATTCAGAGAAAACAGCGAGCTCTTAGCAGTGTTCATTACAGACAGGAAGTGTGCAGTTCTCTGCATTGCTCTCCATTGGCTCCACATTGGACTGGCTCTGCATGTCTAATCAGTGCTTCTCCCTCCATCAGCACGGCTGTGGTGGATTTGCCTTGATCCCTACAGGGAAGTGCTCACCATGAATGGAAAATCCCACAACTTTGAAGTTGGAAGGGATTTAGATTTGGCTGTTTACTGCATTTTTACATTGCCAATCAAATTCTATATGACAGTTTAAAGTAATGAGTGTGACCTCTGTAAGATTCCGAAGAGTCATTTTCAACCCTGGCACATTGTACTAGACAGTCACCCCCAGCTTAGTTTCAATGACCTAAAGGAGATTCTACTTACTTCATTTCTATGGCTGTCAATCAAACGGCCATGTCTTTAATTACTCACAGTTTCAAACAAGTGAAATTTTGGTATTAATGTCTTTTTGTTCCCCAATCGCCCATGGGATACTCAGTTTCTGCTATTTGCTTTAGAGCATCACCTCCATACCAGTACTACCATACGCTCACTATATTATATTATATGTTTATTTACGCATTTGGCAGACGTTTTAATCCAAAGCAACTTTCATTACAATGAGTTATTACATTTTTCAGTTCTTGTTTTCCCTGGGGTTTGAACCCAGGACCTTTGCGTTGCATAGTGCAATGCTCTACTGACTGAGCCACAGGAAAGCTTTGATACTTTGAGAAATATGTGTAAAAACGGTTCGTTTACAAATATTAGTGGATACTGGAGCATTTACAATCTTAACTGTTGCCTGTTTGGGCTTCTTTAAAAGAGCTTGAAACTCCAGTCTGGGTTTAATCTTGCCATGACACAAACTGTATTTCTGCTGTGAATGATGGGTGAAGGTTAATGGTGACAACATGAAATAGTAATCTGATTTACATTTTTGTAAAAAATAAACAATCATTATCGCTAAGATTTGTTTCATTATCTGCATTTCTATCCAAATATTTTTATGTACATTAAGGAATGTCGTATAAAAAACCCTTGTCGATGTCGAAAATGCCCTTAGTAAAATTATGCGCATTTTTGATAACTACTTCAACTATGATGGAAATGCATTTACTGAATAAATTGCACTGCAATGCACGGGTAATGTGTGTTTCTGTCGGAGCTGCAGTGGCATTAATGGACAAACCAACGGAGCGAATTCATCGATCAACATCTGAAATGTTCTTTTAGTCGTTCTAAAACTCTTAAAGTCCGTTGCTAAAGTGGTTTGGGATCATCACCTTGCAGAACTGTCTCGACCGGTCTAAAGCGCAGTCTCCTGCCTCCAAAAACCAAGATGATGTAACCGTGCATATTGTGTTTCATTTACGTGCGCTAGGCAGTGCTTAATATGTGGCGGAGGTTGCTCTGGTACCTCGCAGGCTGGGACCATCACCTATTTGATTGGTTCTGGTAAATAAACTATGTGTAATATGTAATTTTATGAATGTTTTGTAATTCTTTACTTTATGTCTGAAGTGACACTTGGTTGTCTATTTCTGATGGACTTTAATCAGAAAAAATAAAAATAAACGAGAGGGAAAGTGATTAATTCAGACATAGCATAATTCAAGACTCAAACAGAAGCCACACTCTAGCTAGCATTAGCATGCCAGTAAAATGTCAAATAGATTCGGAAAATCACCATGGTGACCACACCAGAGTTCGGTAAAGCTGCTGCAGATTCACAGAATTGTGTTTCTCTGCTCAATTACACAAGACCCAAAAGGTTTTTAAAAGACAAATGACGCCTCTTTTTAATCTGTGTCTCGTAGCGAAAAAACTGCAGCTCTCTTCTTGTAAACGCTACGTCTATTACTCCACCTTCGGCGAAATACAATGCTATGTATGCGCATCAAACTGAGACAGGATCGCTAAGGGACCGTCTGCAAAGTGCCACACCCCAAATACATTTTGACCAGAAAATAGTTAAGAACTTGACTCTAAAATGCTCCATTATGACCGAAATCAAGCCACGCACCACTGCTCTCCTGCAGGGAGTATTGTATTAAAATACAATCAAGGGATTTCAGAATTCATTACATTCAGTTTTTTTAACATTAGAGATGTGATTCTAAAAAAAAAATCTGTCTGGTATTTGATCATTTAGGGGGGCATAAACACAACATTTTTTTAACCTGAAAATTCACACTAGGCTCCAGGAATTAACTAATTTAAATAAGTGAATTAATTCATTTAACCAGGAAATTGAGGGAAAAAAAGCTGGTGGAGATTGAGATATTGTGCAAAGTGTTGAAAAAAATCCCAGACTCAGGATATTTTCCTTCCTCTTTGACACTAACAGGACAAACTAAACACTGGTACTTGGGGAAGGTATAATATAGGAAAGAGGCCTTTATTCCATTTTTCTTTCAATATTTGGCCCCGGTTTATCAGCAAAGGAATTTTTTTCTTGGACTCGGATGGAAACAGTGCTTACTCTCAGTGTTTTGTTCATAAATTTAATGTGCTTCTTTGCGTGGAAACATGGCTATTGTGTCTCTGATAACCTCTTCAAAGGTGGCAGGATGTGGCACGGTCCTCTGTTACACAGTCAAGCAATTGCTGGAATATAAAAGAAAAAGCATTTTGTTCTTTTCTGCATGCCTCTGAGCCTCTACAGGCTCCATCGTTTGGTGTGAAGTCATCATTGGATGCGACAGAAGTATGTTGTGAGGCACAGTGTGTGATGTGCTTTTGAACTCATGGATGTTTAGTGAATTAATACTGAATTTCTTTTGTCACTTGAAGAGTTTCTAACAGAGTTTCTGAATGATTGGACTTGATTGCTGTTGTGATTTGATTTGTCTTGTGGCTATAATCTATTAGTTACGATCTGCTTCATGTTCTCATGTATGTGTACCATTATTTTAAGAATGTGACTGTTGTAAAAAGAGCACTTCTGTTCTTGGCCGTGCTTTCAGAATTCATGCTGGTTGGAACAGAGCAGGCTGCCCTCAGCGGAGGGTCAATGACGACAACCCACGTGGCTGTGTTTGGTTGTGGGAACATGTTTTTTTTTCCATCTAAAGCTGAAGGTTGCTTTAAATAGCTGTTCACTGCCCCAGGCAAAGCAACAGAACCTTCAATTTCACAACTAGCTTTGCACTGATTAGATGTTTTGCTGATTAAAATATCCAGGCACTATTAAAAACTCGAGTCTGTGATAGCCAGAATACATCATTTATTTTGTTTGGACAGAAAAAATACTGTTCAGAGAAAAGAAAAAAAACTGAAAACACACCAAAAATAAACTTTTCCAGACATTTGGCTCTCAACACAAACAAGAGAGAAAGAAAGTCTACAAATATATGTATGTCATCTACTCAAAGGTCATCCATAATTCTAAAAGGCTTAAAGATGAGGAGAACTGAGCAGTTTGTGCCAGTATTACTATCCCTGCTATTGAGGGTGAGTTTGTGGAGGACACAAATGTTCTTTGGGTCAGTGCTTGGCATTTATAGAGGGAGCTTTTGTTAAGACTTGTGCTTATGGGCAAACAAACGGCATGGAAGCAGTCCGCACTTATCTCTCTGAGCGGATGGGAAGTTACACGTCTAATGGTTTTACCACAGACACACTGAAGTTCCAGGAGGCTTCAAAGTGTTTTATCCATGAGTAAAGCATTAGCTCAAAGATAATCTGATCACAATATTTGCATCCAGAATTCCTGGTTTGATTCTACATCCCGATGAGTTTAGCGTACCTCTCGTGACACACGGAGAAGCAGTCGTCCCCTATGAACCTGCTCTTCTCACAACACTATCATTTTTTTATTGAAGTCAGGCTACAGAATTTCTGGGAATAAGATTGAATCGAAAAACACAAGCAATAAAAGAAATTATGGTGTGTAAACACTAGGGGTGTAACCATATATTGGGGCACAATGTATCAGGGTATAAAAATGGCACTGTAAACATCATGTAGTCACAAGGATGAACTGTCTAGAAGCTTGGAGTGATGTTTGTAGTTACTTCTGCAACTTCTTTAAGTTTTCTTCATGTTGGACTTAACCCTTAGAGGCCCGGGGCCTTCTTTTACTACTTTAAAATTTGCTCTAAAAAACTTTTAACAGTTTTTTTGTGCCAATGCAAAAATCAACAAAAATCAAATGTGTTGAGATAAAATAAAATTTAATAAATCCAGAAAAACATTGTAAAACAAACAAACAAAAAAACAGGCAAACCTCTCCTAAACCTTAAACACTGTTCCAATCACTTTTTATGCCATTGTGCTTCTTTGTGCCAGAACTTTGAAAAACACAAGACATATCACAGGGCTTGAACTTCCAAGAGAGTTTTCCCTTCTTTACGCCACTAGATGGCACTGATGGCATCGATTTGGGCTCTGTGAAAAAAAAGACTGAAAGACGATTGCACATTTTCCCGCATTTTAATTTAAATTTCCTATTTAAAAAATTAAAATATTGACACCTTGACATTATATGCCAAATCAAACAATGAAACAATAGCCGTGTTGCATAAATCCTATATAATTCAAAACACACGCTGTAATTGTCACACACACCGGTGCATGCAGACTTCTAAGGGGTAATATTTCCTAGGCGCCAAATTCCACCCCTTTTACTTGCAAATAAGCTTGTTTTTTCCTCTTGTTTCATCACGCTGAGAATATTTTAAGAATGTGACTGTTGTAAAAAGAGCACTTCTGTTCTTGGCCGTGCAGATGACAGTGCATATGTTAGCGATGCACTCTAGTGGCTGGATGCTATTATACGGTCTAATACAAATCAATCTACCACACTTTGCTTTTCGTTTTAAACCTTTTCAAAGAAATACATATAGTTTCCAAATTTTAAAACAAGTCTATAGTGAACACAATGTTATGATATGCATCGAATTGTGAACAGAGTGAGTCGTTACACCCCTACGAGTTAACACCATTATTTCATTTTCATTGTCAAATCTCACATTCTCATTTAGCAGCTGATTCAAGCTGCAAAGTTAAATTGAATTTCCTAAATTTGTGATTCCCGAAAATACACGCACAGCTGCAGACACTCTCAGCAGTTATTACAGTGGACAGAAACTGTGACGCTCACTTATATAGACAACCAATCACAACTGTTCAAATTTCACCACATTCATCTGCCTTTAAGCATGTGTTGCAGTGTTGGTGTGCAGAGTACGGGGGGAAGGATTTATGGACCAATTTGTTTTAAGCCTGTTTTTGCTTTTATTTGATAGGACAATAGAGATTTAGACAGGGAAGGATGTGGACAGAGAGAGAAGTGAAATCAGGAAAGAAAACCCTGCCCAACAGCATGTTACGAAGCAGAACGGATGTAAATATTTTCATTGACTGACCAATTCTGTCACAATTTGTGAAGTTAATAATATTTTGTGTTTTATTAGCGGAAAACTCAACATTGGGCGCAATATCACTCAACATGTTTAACTGTTTTCAGTTGATTTCAACATTATTTATTAGGTTGGCTTGTCTTCCTAGCCAAACATTACAGGGGATCTCCTCCAGTATTACAAATGCAGCATTTTAGGAGCCATTATTCCGACAATAAACTGTTTAAGCGAGTATTCTCCTCACATCGCAGCAGTCTGTTAATATGACGGGTCTATTTCGTCTAGCGGAAGAATCTGCGGTGGTAGCCGCCGACTGTACGTCATACATCAGCCTCTCGTAGAGTTCTGTTTTATT